TGAAGAGCTTTTTGTGCTGTATTCCAGTTTGCTCAACTTTCAATGATACATTTTTTGCTTTATTGGGGATCCTGTTCTAAATGGGCTATTTTTGTGTGTGAAAAATGAGCAAGAAAGAGAAGATATTAGTAATCACAGAATGGTTGAGGTTGGAAGGAACCTCTGGAGATCATCTAGTCCAAACCCCCTGCTCAGGCAGAGTCACCTAGAGCACATTGCACAGGATCACGACCAGGTGAGTTTTGAATATCTCCAGAGAAGGAGACTCCACTACCTCTCTGGGCAACCTGTTCCAATGCTCTGTCACTCTCACAGTGAAGAAGTTTTTCCTCATGTTCAGACGGAGCTGCCTGTGTTTCGGTTTGTGCCCATTGCCTCTTGTCCTGTCACTGGGCACCACGGAGAAGAGTCTGGCCCCGTCCTCTTGACACCCTCCCTTCAGATACTTGTACACACTGATGAGATCCCCCCTTAATCTTCTCTTCTCCAGGCTGAACAGGCCCAGCTCTCGCAGCCTTCCTTCATAGGAGAAATGCTCCAGTCGCCTCATCATCTTTGTTAGCCCTCCGCTGGACTCTCTCCAGAAGTTCCATGTCTCTCGTACTGGGGAGGCCAGAACTGCACAAGGTACTCCAGGGGCGGCCTCCCCAGGGCTGGAGTAGAGGCGCAGGATCACCTGCCTCGACCTGCTGGCAACACTCTGCCTGATGCAGCCCAGGATCCCATTGGCCTTCTTGGCCACAAGGGCACACTGCTGGCTCATGCTTAACTTGTTGTCCACCAGCACTCCCGGGTCCTTCTCAGCAGAGCTGCTTTCCAGCAGGTCAACCCCTGGCCTGTACTGGTGCATGGGGTTCTTCCTCCCGAGGTGCAGGACCCTGCCCTTGCCTTGGTTGAACTTCAGGAGGTTCCTCTCCGCCCACCTCTCCAGCCTGTCCAGGTCCCTCTGGATGGCAGCACAGCCTTCTGGGGTGTCAGCCACTCCCCCCAGTTTAGTACCATCAGCAAACTTGCTGAGGGTGCACTCTGTGCCTTCCTCCAGGTCATCAATGTACATACATTGAACAAGACTGGACCCAGGACTGACCCCTGGGGGACACCACTAGCCACAGGCCCCCAACTAGACTCTGCGCCATTGATTACAACCCTCTGAGCTCCACCACTCAGCCAGTGATTAGAAATGTATTTCATATATGTGAAAGTACTTTTTTTTTTGCAGAGACTTTCCATTTACTTTTATTTCAGATAATTTTTATTAATATAACCTGAATATGGGATACTCCTTTCCTGTCTGTCCCCAACTGATTCTTCAATGTCTCCCTCTTCCCCTCCGCAACGCATATATCCAGGGTGTTTTGTTTTCAACTTAAACACTTGGCAACTCATCTGTAATTACAGTAGGAATTTTAATCCACCATAAAGCCAGATAATAGATGTATAATTAACTAATGACAGTCTATGGGACTAGACCTAGCAAAGTGAAAGCCATAATTGCGGCAACTAGAACTTCACAGCTTCTCTGCAGTGTATGGAAAATGCAGTTTTACCTGGGTGGGGAAGTTAGAGAGGATTTGAGAGCCTGGCACAGAGCAAAGTATCTTGAAGTGCTAGGAAGGATTAGGAGAAGGAGTAGTGGGTCAGAACTGGAGGAAAGACTAGCGTCTTCCTCTTCCCATCGTTTCCATCATCTGATCTGATCACAGGGTATGAACCTCCTCTCTAGGTCTGATTTCTCTTCAGAGTGCTGCTGTTGGAAGGAGCTGTTCTTATTCATAAGCTTTAACTCCTTGCCCTCCATGCTTCCCGTGGCAGTAGCAGGAGTAGCAATTCTGGTGGGCTGAAGCAGAGACCAATTGGTTGGGCTGCTCTGGGAAAAGGAGTAGGCCAAGTAGGCCATGCATCTGCTATCTCTTTGACAGACAGGTTTTCATTTGCAAACGGAAAGGCTTTGCCTGTGCCAATTTGACCTAGAGAACTGTTTATGAACAAGCTGGCTCCTTATGGAGCATGAAGGGGATGCTGTTGGTGGTGGCCACGGTGTGTCCTTCGGGTGTTCTGCAGGCAGGTGGCATGGTTGTTTCAGTGGCTCTAACCCTGTTAAACTTCACTGGGGTAAATAAGGCTGTGGTGAGGTGAGCCAGCCTGGGCCTTTTTGGGGGCTGGATTCTTTAATCTACCACGTTTGCTTTGTGTTATCTGCTGGAGATTTCCACAGGGTGCTTGTTTTAGGGAGAACCTCTGCCTCACTCTTGCATCCTGGAGCAAGAGAAAGAAGGGTGAGGGTGGGAAAGGGAGCAAAGCTGAACTTAATCTACAAACACTCTTCGGGGATTGGGCTGCCAGAGGTATCATAATAAGTTCTCATAGCCATTGCACCATAGCATCTGGTCGCTACTTGGGCATAGTGGCCTATCAGGAGCCTGCTCTTTGCGCTGGTGAACTCTCTTGCTGTCACGTTGAGTGCCACATTTAGGCCATCTTAAATTAGCCTCACACCCAAACCTCAGTCATACACCTGAATCTTTCTACTGCTCCTTAAAAGAAGTGTGCAGAGTTGTGACTCTTTCAGTTCTTCAAATAAGGGAATTGGGAATTTGGGAATTGTTAACAGCTATATCTATTTTACAGTCCCAAATCCTGAAATATTCCCACTTGTTCTGTTTTATATCCCTCCATACCTTCCCTCCATCCCATCCATCCTTACCTTTTACCATATAAATGAAGAAGTGGCAAATCGGTGTAGCATGGTGGTGAGTAGCTGTATGGATATAGCTGCTGTAGAAAAGCATACCTGAGTAAATGTGCTATAATTCTCCTAAATATTAAGAGAACGTCTAGCACGTAGTTCAAAATAACAGGTAGTTCTTGATCTGCCATAGCATTTCCACTGACTCACTGATTTTTTTTCCCCCCCCGTTGCAGTAATTACAGAACAGTATTGCAGTTTCTGACTCAGAGAGAGGCTTCATTCCAAGGGCTTTCGGCAATGCTGTAATTCCAGCTCTACAGTTGCATGGAACGAATCATGGGGACATTATGGTAGCAGGCGGGAACTGAGCCAAGAATAATGTGGGTGTGGTGTGTGTTTTGAACTAGTGATAGCAAACTAGTAAAGGGAGAACTTGCTTTGGGTAAGCAGCCAGAGATTTGGTTGCCAGAATCTTGCTATGGCTCTTGGGTCTCTAAAACTGGGTGCTTACAGGAGAGACGTCTCAAAGGAGACATCTGAAGGCTTCTCTGTCAGGCTAAGCTAGGAGACTACCAAGTGTCGAAATGGAAAACAGGCAAGCCCAGGTTTGGTATCATTTCACAGCTTTTGAAGAAAGGTAGTCTTCAGACCTGTGGGGAATGAGACTCCCAGGCAGCCCTGGGGAAGGGGATCTGTTGTGTGTCAGGTTGTGGGGTAGGTGCTGTGGGGCACGACTTTGTGTGTGTTGTCCCCTCCAGCTCCATCATCCCTTGTTCCTCTGGCTCCCAGGGCTGTTGCTGCAGGCACAGGCAACGTATTGCGTGGGTGCTGTCGGGCTGCAGCTCGCAGGGCAGCTCCCCGAGCAGCAGGAAGGCAGCAGTCACGTGCTGCCAAATATGACCTGACAGCACTGCTACGAAGGCACTTAGGACTGCGGGGAGGGAGGTAGAGGTGGACCAAAGGGCTCAGCTCTCCTGTTTGTCTCATAAGACGTCAGATCTGACGGGCACATGAATGGGTTTTTATCCTTTCCTTTCGTGGTCAGGCAGCCTCCATTCATGATGCAGCTTTTTAGACTAAGTCGAGCTGCGCTCCTACTTTGCGCTGGTTGAAAGAGCTGTGCGCAGCAGGCCACCTCTGCTTTTAAGAAATGTGCGAGAAGGTCTTCTTGCCCTCAGCTAAGTGTATTCAGAAACAAGTCTCTGGAAGTCAGGCCAAGTGTCTTGCAGATAGGAATAGCTTCTCCTGTGTTTTCCGTGTTGTACCCACCTCACTGTCTATTCTGAAGTGAATAGAATCTGTAAATTTCCTTTTTGTTGTTTCAGCTTAAGCATGAGAATGTTCTCTTTTAATTTCTATTTCAGTGTTACTGGGTGAGAATGAGGATCTTGAAACTTTTTATGGTTATGGTGCAGTGTTTTTGAATGCTTCAGTCAGAAAACAACAACAACAAAAAAGAGAATTAGAAGAGAGGAATATATGTGAAATATGCTTACTCTTCTGGATTTAAGTTCCTACCCCACACAGAAGTAGGATGGGCAATCTCCTGTGTTTAGGTACCTTTGCTTCCGTTCTCTCAAGATGAACTGCTAACTCACTGTCTCAATCACAACTAATAGAGAAGATGTAGCTAGTGGTACCTACTACTTATGTATAACAGGTTAAATGTTTGGAGTACTTGCTTAGGGACTGGAAGGCCCACAGTCTGTGCTTGCCATGGCCTTGCACTGCCCAGGAGAGCTCCTTAGCTGCAGGCTGAATGTGAAGTGAGGGTGAAGACACCCATTGAAACTGTGCAGGTGCAGCAAAGACCAAAGGATTTATAGAGGTGGGAGAGGTATGACTCTAAGTCAGTGCAGAGGGGAGAGTGATGCTCATTTGGGAAGAGGATGACTTCAATCTTATCCTAGGTCACGCACATAGATATAGCTATGCAATTTTTTTTTCACTAATAGTTCGTTAGCTCAAGTAATATCCCTGCTCCGAGGACTTTGATGTTGCGTATAACACTGTTGCATACAACACTGGTAGCGTGTCATCTGTGTGAATTCTGTTTTCTGTATTATTATTATTATTCTTAATTTGAGAAATGGTCTGACTGATGTGCTTTGTGCCAGTGAGTTAAATATTCTCTGAGAATTGACCTAGGTTGGCATCTTGGTGCCAGTCTCACGCTTCAAACCATTTAAAATTTACCAAGAAGGCCCAAAGTAGTACATTTGGGTGTGCAGGTGCTGAGCTGGAAGCTCTCAGATCAATGAAATCACTGTACGGCTCAGGAGAAGTTTCAGCTGTTGATTTCTTTTTTCAGGTTGAGTGGACCATTAATGAGCAGATGGGCTCTGCTGGGAAGGCTTACCCTCACACCATGACAGCTGACGAGTCAAAAGCTGGCGAGTTAGCTCTGGAGCCCCTGCTCACTTGCAAGCTGTGTCTCTGTGAATATTCTCTGGATAAGATGACCACTCTTCAAGAATGCAGCTGCATCTTTTGCACATCGGTAAGATCCAACAGTGCCTTTAGGTTATAGGAACAGAGTAAAAGGAGAGAGACCTGTGAGATGGTGTTGCTCATCCCCTGCTAGAATTGTGTGTTATCCATGCTGATAGAGGATGCTTTTCTAAAGAACATTTAGTGCTAATCTGTCTTGTCTTATTTAAAAGAATTCTGTCACTCTACTTTCAGCAATTTGTAAGTCTAACAGAAGTTCCCGTAACAAATAATAATAAATCCCAGTGGTAAATGTCTGAGGGAAAAAGATGCATTTTAAGACTGCCAGAGAACATACATAGCCCATATGCAATCACAATATTTATTTTTTCTAAAGCGAAATTGTGTAACGTCATAGGATGACTGTGGGATTTTGTTTCCCTATTAGCATTTTCTGAGTGGTCAGAGACCTTTTTTTTTTTTTTCTTTTAACTCTTCTATATAATTCTAAACAAAAATGAACCTTGACCTATTTAAACACAGTCTATGCTGCAGAGACATTGTCAAGGTCATGCATTGCCTGTAGATAACAGTGATGACTTTTCTCCTTGCAAATTCAGATCAAATAAAGCTGGTAGGAATGAGGAAGTGAGTGAGTGAACTGATAAAAGACATTAATACTCTATTGGCTTCTTTGTCAACATGGACCCAGTTTACTTGGCCATAGTGACTTGGCATCCCTGAGTAATGGATATTGGAAGCAGGTTAGAAGCCTTGGAGGGAGGTAGGATTTTTTTTATCCCATAATAAATGTATTTGGCTTTATTTAAAAAAAAAAAAAGTGGATAAGCTTCAAACAAGTATTTTTAAGTTCTGTGCTTGATTGTTTGAATTTTTGGAAGAAATCTGGTGTTTGTTAAGCTGGCTTGTGTCAAACTTCACTTAACTCTGAATTTAGTGCAGTTTAAATGTGATAGGAATCTAGCAATGTTTTTCAAAAAACTAGGATAAGATTGATTAGTATGGATTTTTTATTTGAACTTCATGAAGTGTCTTTTCCATGCCGGCTTCCACAAAACATTTTCACCTCGTTAGTTTGTAACGTGCTTAATTTTTAAGAGAACATGCCTAAAAGGTGTGTATAAGATTAACAGCTTTAATTTGATAATGTTAATACATTTAAAGTAGTCTCACTGTTATCCAAGAGTTCGGTGACTCTCGTTTAGTGTCATTAATAGCGCGTTACTTTAATCTCAGTGTTAGCTGGGCAGAGGAATCCTTTTCCCTCTGGGGAAGGGAGGAGGACTGCTGAAGACTGTGCCACGCAGAGCTGGCCTCTCTGCTCTTCCTGGGCAGCAGCTAAAGGGAGACAGCAGTGATGGCTAGGCAGGATTGCTGTCCCTACCTGTCCCGTGTTGGTGCTGTAGCTGCTACCCCATACGTACACACTGGCCCTGTGCAGTGTCGGGAAGACCATCAGCTGCAAGCTTGGCTTTCTAGTGCTGTGACGTTGGTGATGTGGAAAGTACAGCCACAGTTGTTTTCTCTCTGATCTTTGCTGGCTTTGTCCATGCCTAGAGCCAGCCATAGGTGATTGCTGAATGCAGCTGGGAGATGTGTTTAGACATGCTCCACTTATGTTAGTGAGCTTACTATATCCTGGCTGTGCTTATGCTCAGCGTCCACCCTTTATGTGGCTATTGTTGCCTGCTCACTTCTCTTTCACAAACGCTTCCAGCTTGTTCTGCAAGTGCCTTGCCTGGGCATGATCTCAGGGACGGGTAGGAAAGAAACACTTCCTTCTTCGTCAGGCTTTTGGCGTCAAGAAGCCTCTGTCTCCTTGTTTCTGAGACTGCTGGTGCCTGAGGTTGGCCGGAGGGCTGAGTCACTGCCTGCACCGTGCACTCTGTCCTTTTCCTGCTTCCTTTCCTGTAGCTTGCCACGTATGCTGAGATGGATGTGAATACCGGTGGGCTGGCAGCTGCACAGCTTCTAGCCCGTCTCGGCTCCCTGCAGTTCCTCAGCGCCCACGAAAAAGCGCTGTACTGTGTGACACCAAGGCTCAGTGAGCTTCTCTGCAGGTTGTGGGCCTCGAAAAGCACCAAGACGTTTTGTGGCAGTCTTTTGAAGAGAAAGAGGAATACGAGGCACTCTTAAAAACAAGATAGAGAAGAGAGGAAGGTCAGCTGGCACCTGTAGCACATGTCTGGTTGACGATCTGCATCTGAACATCCTCCCAGTGCATGTGTCTGTGCTAATGTGAGAGAGATAGGAAGTTCTCACATCCTGTAATGAGGGAAGCTCTGGAAACTTTTAATCTGCATATATGCCTTTCCATCTTGAACGCAGAGCAACTTCTGGGAGGCACTGTGAGTTGCACTAGCCTGTCACTGGTAGCTTTGGGCAGTGTCCAAAGAGCTGCATGTTGCAGCACAGTGGTGGAAGCATCTAGCTGCAGAGTCCCTCTGCACCAGAGCTTGCACGGGGGACGGCTCGGGGCACAGCCCGCAGTAGCTGTGCTGGTATGCAGTGCTGTGACTTCCCGGATCCTACTCGTTCCAGGGCTTTTAGTTACCTTCACACTGCCCTTAAGATGGTTACTGGGGCGATAGCTCAATCCTGAGCTACAGGATCAAGTGCATGTTAGTTTTTGAGCTAGCACTGCTTTCAGCTTGAGTAGCTGATCTTTATTTTTTTATCATTAAGGCTAATTATATAGCGCCAAGAGCAGTATTAAATTTGAAATAGTAAGGGGCCTGACGTGGACATTGTGTGTTCTGCTCTGCTAAGGTGAAACCATTAATTTTGTTTAAGTTTTGTTCTGCCACAGACATGTGAGGTCTGTTTTTGTATGCTAACCATTAACAGTGGATTCTGCACCTATGATTGGTTTTCACTACAGCGTTTCTGACTGTGGGGATAATTGGAAATTGGTACTATTTGGGTATACTGTGGGGAATATCTCCTCTTCACTTGTAGCTTATAAAATCAAGGAATTTAAATGAGTTAGAATTGTGTACAGATATTTTTTCAGCTTAGAAACTCTTGTAATAAACATTATACCTCATAAAAGCTGTATTCTAGCCAAAGTAAGTAAACTGCATTTAAGTTTGTATATATTTGCCTTTTGGTGGAATGTTGATATTAATGCAAGATTTTTTTCAGCCAGCTATAAACATCTTTACTCTCTTTGTTGAGAGAAGAAAAATCAAGTGGCTTTGCAGAACACGCTTGCCATCTTATTTGGTAGCCCGATTAAGTCTGAAGAGATATCAGCCTGGCATTTCTGCAGCATTTGTTGCTGTTGGCATAAGGCTCCACAGAATGTGAGATAAAGCACATATTTGCACATCCAAAGAATCTGGAAATGACTCTAATGCTTTCACTGAGTTTGGATTATGTTAGGTTCAAAGGGAAGTACAATTGAATCTAGTGTTTCTGAAGAGGACGGTACAGGGATGCTGTGAGGTATACTTTGTCTGCAGAAATTTTGGATAACTGCACTTCATATTATTCAGGCATTTCCTGTACCCGTAAAACCTTTCTGGAGTGCCACGAGGTGGTGCACATTGCTGTAACTGAACACCTACCTATGCTTCAGTTACGGGGCTCAAGATTGCTGTGATGGGCATGTTCGGAAGACTGACAGATCATGCCAGTTTCAAACTTTAAAACCAAGCTACTGAATTCATTCATTAGCAGCACACTTTGTGCTAGTGATTAGTTCTTGCACAATATTAATCATTGTCACTACATATGCAAAACTGGTAGTCTTTAACCCTTACATTGTAGATTAGCAGTGAGCATAGAGCACTGATGGTTGCAGCCCGTGGTGGTTTTTGGTTGCGGAAGCTGAGGCCAAGGCCATTGGTCCTGCAGGCTCCTCTATGAGAGAAGGGGGAGCAAAGCCAGCTTGCCATCTTTTTTCTCCAATTGCTGCTTATGGCTCATGTTTTTATGCTACTTGCCTCATTCCCGGAAAGGGGGTCTCATCTGTTCCTGATACAGCTTATCTTGTTTTTTCTGCTTGTCTCGCCAGTCATGCTTCTTGCGTATTTGGCAGGATGTCCTTCCTATTTGCAATCCCCTGTGCTTATCTTGTCTTGAAACTTTTTGTTCCTTGGGTGCCTCCGATGTTCAGCAACACAAGTCTTTACCCTTTGGTTGTCACGTTGCTCACGTACGTGTGTAAAATGATCATACACTGTGTTTAGCTATGTCCTGACAGTGTTAGAAGATACGGTATTTTAGAACACTTGTGTCTATATCCAACGCAAATTAATAGGAATTATATTCTGATTAATACACTTATAATTTCTAGGTGTCAGAGGCCTCTGCTTTGGCTATGGCAGGCTAATTGAACCATATATAGTAAGCAGACCTACTCTTAGATAGTTTTTAGATGTCTTGGAAAAATGTGATTGGGAGGTTGTTTGCCTCCCAAACAAGCAAACTCTTAATTACCAAATATCCAAATACATTGAGCCCAGAGGAGTAATTTAATACAAATGAGCAGTTCTGCGTCTAAAACTATTTGTCCTCAAGTATAGGGACAAGTTGGCAGTTTGTTCTTCCCAGTGCTATAAAGGTCCCATCTGTAGCCCTGTGGGGATACTCAGTATTGGACCTGAAAGTGGCCTTTCCTCTGTCTGATGTAGAGAAGCTGCTTGTGGATAAGCATCAGTAAAACTCTGCAACACCTCATGTATTTATATGTGGGCCAAGTGCTTGTGCAGGGAAAGA